TATTCAGCGCAACATAGCAATGAATTAATCACATTTAAGAAATTTTAAACATACCTTCTTGGAAAAGTGGCATTACATACATTGTCGGGTGCATCAGATGTACTTTGTGGCGTTTCAAAAATTCTCTTTTCAACCCATAATTTTCTACAAAAACATGAAAAGATATTACTATCTGTCGTCTATATTAATTTAATATTATTTTCAAGCATGTTCACCATGTTGCAATTCTTACCTGCGATGACTTTTGGGTGTTTCAATGTTCACAACAGTCTCTGATACGCTAAGTGGATCAGAACTGGCATTTTCAGGATGTAATGAATCTGCAATTCCACATTGTGCTATATATATGTTTTGTTCGGTTGACTTTGATTCATTATCTAATGTTATTGACAAACCATCAACATCAAAGTTCCGACAAGTGCTGGAAGGTTTCTCATTACTGCTCGATCCTTCATCTGTGCTTCTATGAACATTAGCAGTAAGCAGGAATTCTCTACGAATAACTTTGAAATCCATGCCAGCAGTATTTGTTCTAAAAAATAAAAGATCAATCATTAATTTTTATTATTTTGAAAATGTGTGACACAATAAGTACAAGGAATGAAACAGTATTTCACATTATTTATTAATATATGTATATTTACCTATTTTCCGTTGGAGATAGCATTATAGTGAGAAATGCATTTGGCAAAAGGAGCCGTCTCGGATTTGTACATTTTCTGGACTTCTGCCTCCTTTCTACGTGAAATGATTGTTCAGTAAAATGGACTGAACATATCTTTGCTGAAAATGATTCCAATTACATTATAATGATGACTTTTTTGAGCCTTATTATTACATTTTTGTTAATATATTTTAATTATAAAATATATGTACTATATTTAGAATCTTATAAGACCACTTACCATTTTTTATATTTAAAGGTAACCTAACTTCTCCGATTTTTTTAAGCCAGCCTTCACGAATTACGTCGTTCTTTAGTAAACTGAAGAAACTCACTTCTGTCTTACAACTTTTTTCTGTTTTATTTGGGCAAGATTTTACAATGCACCGTACCATATTGACCCGCGTTACTCCAAATCTGTTTAACAACTCGAAACCACGTGCTCTTACTGTGAATTCTTGCCGAGAAAAGAACACAATATGCACATATAGCAAGGTGTGACAAAGACGCATTCAAATCAGTCGTAGTAACTTAGCAGCATCAAACATTTAATTTTTCACAGTTGGCAGGCCTAGGTAGTGAACGGTACCTCGACGTGAAAAGGGGGCGTGGTTTCGAAGTTTTGAGCTCACCATGTAATGTTTCCACCATGGGATGGAGCGCAAGGCAATTCGGTTGTTTAATCCGCGGTAAGGGGGGTGTAGTGCTGTCTCTTTCTCGGATAGAACCCCATCGAGTGTTTTCGTTGTATACCCGATGATTCCCGAAAGACTAGATATTCGCTAACCTTAAAGT